AAGGAGACTGGGTGCGACATCGCAGAAAGAGCAAAGGGCAAGGATTAGCAACAATCTTATAGCAAAAAAAAGGCAGTGGGAAGTGATAAGGTGACTTTGAAATAACACAAACTATTTTCATAGGTCGTTTCGCACCATAACGGGTTTCCTCCATCAATTCAAGGCTAATTTGTCTAGGGTATGGTTAAAGAGATTCACTCCTTGAGAAATCGACTCGCCGTCTTCCTCTGTGCCCTACTAGTCAGAAAAAATAGCCATATCTTGTGAATTTTACGGAAAATTAGGGACTAATGGGATCAAAGCATTTAAAGTAGTCGAATTAAAGCAAGACTAACATTGTGTAGCATCAGCTTAGAGTAGCAAAATATATTTTAGCACTTTTCGCTTACTCAGACGCTCCACGGCCCACTAGTTGCTTAATTTTGCAAAATTAACCTTGATAGCTAAGAAACAAGCTCGAAGAGAAGCGTTCAATTAACCACACTCGTTTCAGCTCCTGTTTCAAGCTGAGCACTTCCAGTGAATGCAAAGAGACTTCCGCAAGACTTTCGTTGTTGTTTAAACATTTTGAAAAACCTTTTTTAATGATTCATTTTGTAGGATTGGGTTATCACTATATATCCGTATTTGTTATATAAGGCTTTGCGAGAAGTTCGCGACAGCTTCGATTCATAATTGATGGACAGCACGTCACTTATGTTCATTTACACTCATAGCTTAATGCTAGACCGTATTATCTCTATACCAATCATATTTCTTAGCCAGGCGAACGCAATGTGTTGCTGCCGCGCAGGCTTTGTAGATTCTTCCATTTTTAGGGAATTTTATAATGATTCTTAACATTCGCTTCATCGCAAAGCTAGTCACAACGAGCCCTCATTCCCAATGTCAATGAGGCCTAAACGATCAAGCCACAATGAAGCTCAATTCATAGCCCCAAGCTCCAGTCACTTTCATTCGCTCAAATTGTTTGAAGGTGTTTCAAAACTTACGCTATAGAGCATGAGCAACTATAAAAAAATTTCAAAAAAAAAAATTCAAATGCGTCCTTAGCTGAAAACGAATGGCCGAGGCGAAAGAAAAATTTACTGTAAGAGCTTAATCGTCTATACAGACCTGCAATCATGCTCTGTTTCTTCTACTCAGCATTCATGATTGCAAGCCGTATATGTTTTCTCTAGCATGAACTTAAGAAAGCGTGAATTTCTCCATAGAATTCAGTTGTCGAAGAGGTTAACACCACAACAGAGAGGATCATTCCAGAACCTTTGTGATGCACTGTCATGGGTAAC